CAAGGAAAAAGTAACAATTTGAAGGCAATTTGGAAAGGACTTGGAGAAATAGGACAGCTTGGTAGTAGGTTGGGTTAGCACAGTAATGGGTATGATCAGTTCTTTGGGTACTTATGACGTGTCTAGTATCTACAGGGGTTTTGTGGCAATGCTCTCGGATTTGGCAACCTGTGTGGCTTGGTGGAGTTAGAGGAATTCAGTTCAGATAGCTTGGTTATGTGCAAATGGATTTCAAAGTGTTCATGATGGTTTCTACCATGGTTTGAACCGGATATTTTCTACTGGTGTACGAAACATGTTGTATGTTATGATTTCCTCCTAGAAAGAATCAAGAAGGAGGTTTCTGACTAATAAGGTATGTAATTTTCTAGTGACTCAGAGTTGATAATGGAATTCTTATGCTTGTCATATGATGGCATAATAGATGTGGTGTGTTGTGCGGGAATAGGATTTACATGTACAAGATCACAGTTCAGTTTTGAAGGGAAGGACATAAATTCTTAGGCAGCATGGACGGTTTCAGATGACTAGGTAAATGATATTACTATTTGATATGGCTTGATGAGAGTGTACATTTCAGAAGGGGCAGTGTGTTTTGATTTATGGGTACTTCGCTGGTATTGCGGCACTCTCCCGGTTGATCGACTGTTGATATTCAAATTTTTGCCAGGTGGCACGGAAGAATTTTTAAATATTTCTCGTGGGATGATTGTGTATGAGAGAGGTGTTAGGCATTCGGGCGGTGGAGGTGGAATCAAATACGGTGATTCGTATGTTCTATGGAATTGGAGATTGGGAGTTATCAGGAGCAAATTATTTTATGGTTGTGGACTGTGAAATTGTGGCCGGAGCTAGCCAGATCATAGAATGTGTTATGATTCAGTCATTGTGGACTTTCGGAGGTTATTTATCTATTGGTCGCTGACCAGAGTTGATTTGGAGCCCATTGGTAGGCCCAATTAGGATGTGTATTCTACACCGAGCTAGATTGGTTGGCTCCATACTGATATTGTTGAAGGATGTGCCATTCGGTTGATGTGAAGCTTATTCGTGTTCTGAAATAATCTGTGAGTTACTCTTCTATGCTACGAGGAGTTGTGATTCGTTGGTTACATGCACATATGATGCGATTCTATTGTGGCCTTATAGCGGAATTTGAGCGAGAATAGTATTGGATATTACTTGGTTGATGGCGTATTGGTCATGTTCTTTAGAGTTTTATGTGGCATGGTGTCGTTTGCTTCTCCGTGGTTATGGTAATGCACTTTGGGTACTTGATGTCGAATTGCGCATGGTTATTGATTTTAGCAGGGTGGCTTGAGGTATTTCATATGGACCAGTATTTGGATAGGGTCGCGTATTGCAGCATAGTTATGTGGAAATATGATCCTTTGTGTAAGATCCGTGTGTTATGATTCTGCGGTGTGTGATGGGTTCTTAGCATTGCGTCGGGGTGGTACCCGTCAAGTTTGCGAAACGGTTCTCCTGTTTGGGTCATTGTTACGATTGGGTATATTTGGAATATTGCTATATGGTGCACGGATTGCACGGGTTGTGGCTTTAGATTGTATTGATGTGTCATGTCACTAGAGTGGTCGTGTTGGATGAAACGAGGTCATTGGGCCTAGAATAGATGCTATCGGATTTGATTGTGGTATAATTGGGAGGATAATATCGGAAGTCAGCTTTGAAATTGGCTATGGTTCTTGTAGAAGGAACGAGAGCTCCATGACATGTTGGTCTAATGAATGGTTATGAATTTGGTATGTTTCTTTCATCAACGGCTGTGTACGAAGGTTTTAGAACGAGGTTTTGTCTGATATGAGGTTTATTACTGGCACTGGGTTGATTTGAGCCGATACTGTGATTAGAAATCATTGCTTCGAGAATTCGAGCTAAGCGGTAATTGAATTTGAGTATTTGAGTTATGGTTACGGCTTTTGGTACAGCTTGTTCAGACTTATACGGTATGTAGATGCGAACTTCTGATCTTATAGTAAATTTTGGATGTTGGAAATTTGATTCGAAGGCTTATGGGCTAGGTTGAATTGAGAAATTTCAGTTATGCTGTGCTATCGGACCTGTATGGGATAGGGTGACATGGGATCACCCCCGGGTATATGCATGGGAAAGTTACAAAGCAATTTGATGGCTTCTGGAACAACTCTGGGCACGTTCGAGGACAAACGTATGTTTAAGTGGGGGAGGATGTAACGACCCAACCAGTTATTTTGAACATTTGCACTTCGCTCGGTTGTTTGAGGGCATGAGTTGCTTTGTATGATGTACTTTGACTTGTGTAAATCATCGGTTTTTGTTTGCAGGTATTTTAGAATCGAATTGGAAGAAAGAATTTCATTTTTGAAGCTTTAAATTGAGTTGACTAAGTTTGACTTTTTAGCATTTGACCTCGGATTGGAATTCTGATGGTTCCATTAGCTTCGTTAGGTTATTTTCGAGTTGGGAGCGCATACGGAATGTGACTTGGAGGTCCGTAGTGGAATTAGGCTTGAATTGGCGAAAGTTGGAATTTCGGTGATTTCGGTCGGCAGTGGAAAATTTGATATCGGGGTCGGAATGGAATTCTGGAAGTTGGAGTAGGTTCGTAGTGTCATTTTTTATGTGTGTGCAAAATTTTAGGTCATTCGATCGTGGTTTGGTTGGTTTCGGTATCAGTTGTCGAATTTGTAAGTTTAGAAGTTCTTAGGCTTGAATCTGAGGGTAATTTGGTGTTTTGATGTTGTTTTGAGTGATTCGAAGGTTCGACTAAGTTCGTATGGTATTTTAGGATTGGTTGGTATGTTTAGTTGAGGCCCAGAGTCCTCGAGTGTATTTCGGGATGAGTTTTGAGCAAGTCCGGATATTTCCGGAACTCAGGTATGGTTCTGGTGCTTGGAATTTCACAGACCGCGGCAGAATTTCGCGGACCGCGCTTGGAAGTTGTGCAAATCCGCTGGTCCGACTTCGGAAACCTATATTTTTTGATATACAAGGAATTTGGAGATGATTCAAAAACAAAAGTTGTAGTCCTTCGTGTCTAGTTTCCAGAAAAGTATATTGATGGTATTGTACTGATTGTGAATAGATTCTGAGCATTTGGAGGCCGAGTCGAGTGGCAAAAGCATTTCGAGGTAGAGATTTGATCGGTTTGAGGTAAGTAACAATTGTAAATCTAGTCCTGAGAGTATGAAACCCCGGATTTTGTATCATTCTACTATTTTTGAGGTGTCACACATGCTAGGTGACGGGCGTGTGGGCGTGCATTGTTGGGGATTGTGACTTGGTCCATCCCGTATCAACTGTAAAGTTGCATATTTTGTTAAAACTATATGATACTTATATGTTTTAGAAAGGGTTTCTGTAAATTGGTCTGAATGCCATGTTTTGGGCCTTGTGCCAGTGCTGTGTGAACCCTTAGGGGCCTTTTCCTACTATCCTTTCACTGTTTTCGATTGAAAATCTATACTCAGTCATGGTTATACCTGTCTACTGCATAACTCAGTTTTTATTACTCGGTTCTGATGCATAAATGTTGTTTTGGGTTGAATATCCTATTTTTACTGAAATGCCCGAGTGACTTGAGAGGTTTATGTCTGAGTGAAGCCGAGGGCCTGATCTGTGAGGATATTTATGGGATCGGGCTGCACACTGCAACATATTTAATATTGGCCGAGGGCCTGAGTGATTTATGCCATGATTTGTCTTGATATAGCGCTTGTGCTGAAGGAGCCCCTCCGGAGTCTGTACACACCCCCAGTGAGCGCAGGTACCTACTGAGTGCGAGTGCCGAGTGACTGGGAGGCATGAGTGATTGTGGGGTATACGCGAGTGGCATGAGTGATTGTGAGGTATGTCCGAGTGGCATGAGTGATTGTGAGGTATGCCCGAGAGGCATGAGTGACTGTGAGGTTTTCCGGAGGGGTTGTATATGAGTGATGTTTTGCCTGAGGGGATGTTTATGATTTCATCATTTTTGCTCACCTTGCATTGAGCCTTGTTTGAAAATTGTAAAAATAAAATATCTTTAAATGATTTTACTGAAACTGGGTTTAAACGAGATGTTTTGATTCGAACCGTGATTTTAAAAGCATGTGGTATTTTACTGAGATTTCATGATATGAATTTTATATGCTTATTGTTCGTCACTACTGCTCAGTCTTTATATATTGTTGTTACTTACTGAGTTGGCGTACTCACATTCCTCCCTACACCTTGTGTGTAGATTCAAGCGTATTTGGACACGGTAGCGGCTGTTGACTATTCCGGTTGTAGATTTTTCCCGGGGATAGCAAGGTAGCTGCCTGGCGATCGCAGCCCTGCTCTTTTCCCTCTTATCTTTCTTTAGTTGTATTTAGCTATTTTTCAAGCTGAGTTAGTCTTGATTTTGTTAGACTGATTGTAGTAGATGCTCATGACTAGTGACACCCCGATGTCGGGCTTTTCTTTTCTGCATTTATGTTTTGATTTGAACTCATTTACGAAGGTTTTTACGCTAAATAGCCTTGAAATTATTCTTGAAATGAAAATATCGGTTTGTTTTGGAATGAGTCAGCTTGCCTAGCTCCACGATAGGCGCCATCACGACGGGTTAGGTTTTTGGGTCGTGACTCTCCTGTAGTATGTAATTTTCTAGTAAATATTTTATGAACTTCACACTTAAATTCTTTTGTTCAGTTTCCTAATACTTGACACTAAATATGCTTCTGGAGGATGAGTTCGATTTGCTTTGTTATTACTTTCAATGGGAGGGGGACTTTTGATTTCAAATACTTGGATCATGATACAAAACTTGTTCTGCTTAATAAACAATAATGGAAGTAGACAACGAGCAACAACCTTTTAACATTATGGCTGCTTCAGAATATGAAATGCTGCAATGATTACCTGCCGCTACAATAAATTCATACCAGTTTGTTGACGATCAAGAAGAACAAGGACAACTAATAATGCAAATAGACAACCAATATACGATCCAACAAAGTTTTTTGTTACCTTCTGCAATGACAAGCAACAACGAAGATGAAGAAAACAGTGAATTTATACCGATAACATCAGATACAATTAAAGAAATTGCTGAAACTTCTACTGCTTCTAAGAAATCAAGAAAAAAGAGTGAGGAGAAAACTGGAAGAATCTCCACCATGTAAAATACTTAGGCACGATACATTGCTTGAGGAAGTAAGAGTAGGATCAATTTTTGACAACAATAAGAACATGACTAAATTTTTCTGCAACTTGGAGATAAACCAAAAAGTTGAATTCACTGTTGTTAGATCATGTTCAAAGAGATACGAGCTGAAATGCATCGTGGAGAAATGTGGTTGGAATATACGTGCTACCAGAATAAAACATTCCTCACTTTTCAGGGTGATAAAATATCATAACAACCATGAATGCTCGGTTGATGCAAGAAAATCATATCAGAAGCATGCTACATCAACATTTATAAGTGAACAAATTTTAGAACATGTTCGAGATAAAAAGATTGAGGTTACACCAGCCTTTGTAGAAAGTGAAATGAAAAAGAAATTTGGATTTGACATTGGATATCACAAGGCATGGCGCGCTATTCAAAAAGATATTGCTTCCATAAGGAGAACACCGGAAGAGAACTACCAGATTCTTCCTTCATACCTATACATGATGGTGCATAGAAACCCAGAGACGTAGACTAGCATAAAAAGAGATGAGTAGAATCGGTAAGAAAAACAATACTAACCATCAGCCTAAAGTTTCAAATGTTCCTATTTGAAAAACTTCACACCTTATGATTTTTTTTTTGTGTTTCACTGTACAGATTTGCTTACATGTTCTTTGCTCCTGCGGCATCAATAGTTGGTTGGTGCTACTGTAGACCCGTGATTGCAGTAGATGCAATATTTTTAAAGTCAAAATATCGTGGCGTTCTATTTGTTGTTGTATCAAAGGATGCAAACAATCAAATCTTTCCTCTATCTTTCGGTGTAGTAGATTCAGAAAACAACGATGCATACATCTGGTTCTTCGGGGAAATGAGAAAAGCAATTCAAGTCCGTCGTGAACTGGTTTTCTTATCAGATAGAAACCAATCGATCGCAAATGGGATTAGAAAAGTTTATCCTGAAGCTCACCATGGTATCCGCCTCTATCACTTTGAGAAACATTTAAAGCAAAGACGTGCAAAAGCCACAGTAATAAATCTTTTTCAAAGCGCTGCAAGGTCATACAAACGTGAAGATTTTAATCAGTTAATGTCCCAAATCAAAAGTGTTGACAAGAAAACATACAATTACATAATAGAAGAGCTACCAGAGAGATGGGCTCGATCGTGGTTCCTACGGCGACGTTATGATATGCTAACAACAAACATGGTAGAATCAATGAATTCTGTGTTACTAAAAGTGAGATAGATGCCTATTTTAAGAATGTTAGATTTTATCCAAGAAAAGTTAGGAGAGTGGTTTTATGGACGGAGAAAAAAAACACATGAAACTTTTCACAAAGTATCAATATGGGAAGAAGAATAGATGAACAAGAAGATGGACTTGGCTTGCAAAATGTTTGTGAGTATATTTATTAACTTCAGAATTTACTTCAACGTGTTTTCTCTGAAGTAACTAACTAATACATAATTACTTCAGCTTTTTATATCTGCTGCAGTGATTTACTGGTTACATATAAAAAACTTCATACTTTTTCTATTTGAAGCAATAATACACTAATATAGTTTTTTTTACTTTTTTATTCTTTCTTAGGTGTTCAACCTTGATTCAATGTTGTTTAGAATAAATAGTGAAGGAATGGAATTCATTGTGGACTTAAAGAAGAGAATTTGTGACTGCTTGGAATTCCAACTTGATGAATTGCCCTGTCCACACACAATTGCTGCTATTAATAAGAGATATTTGCAGAAATCTAATTACTGCTCAAAATGGTATTCAAGGGAAACATGATTCAAAACATATGAAGGATATGTGAATACTGTGGTAGATCAAAATGCATGGGATATTCCACAAAATATAGAATCTAAAATCACAAAACCTCCCGATGTAGAGATTTTACAAGGAAGAAGACAAAAGAAGAGGCATATCCCTGCGACTGAATCAGTACCATTGAAGTCTACCAAATGCAGTCGATGTAAACAAATTGGGCATAACAGAACAACTTGCTTGTCTTCTCCAGCACCTCATCCATATTCCAAGAAACACGCTGAAAAATACTCCAACGTTCAATAATCTTTGGTTTGAATTTACACTTTCATTGTTGAATGATATATGTGAAATGTGATTATTTTCGTAGAAATAAAAAAAATAAGCTCTTGGATTGAAAAATACTCTTTTATATATTGCTTGAAGTACAAACCACTCATTTTTGTTGTGCGGCTTACATGTTTGGTTGCATTTTAAAAAAGTACGCAATGACTTCAGCGAGAAAAACTGTAAGTGAAATACATATCTCTAACACACACAAAAAAAAACATATGTATAACTAAACTTTAGCATATTTAGACTGAAGTTTTAGAAAATGAACTAAATAACTTCAGCATATTCTCTCTGAAGTTTGGAAAAGATCATTACAAAAATTGCAGACTGTTGGACAAAACTTAAACATGTTTTGTGTGAAATTTTATGAAATGAACAAAAAAAATTCCGCATATATAAGTCTGCCTCTTAAAAGATTGCTTATTAACGGAAAAATGTATGCAAAAAAAGTACAACCTTTAAAGTGTGACTATCAAAAGCTATAAACTTCAGATAAAAAAAGTTCAAGTTTCTAACTTATATTTGCTAACTTCAGCTTATAAGGCATGAAGTTTTATGTTGACATACTATGTTATTACATTAAAATCATAATGCAACCTTCAAAATTTAAAAATATTATACAAAAAAACGTAACAAAATTTTCATTTATATAACAACATAAACATTAACAAAACACGACCATCATCAAAACATTGACAAAACAAAAAGAAGAGCCATAAAAAATATTAACAAAAAACACAGAAGAAAAACATTTAAAAAGGATTACAAAAACTAAGCATCGTCACCATCATCAGAACAGTAATCTTCAATTTCTCGATATATCTCATCATCATCTGAATCAGAGATAACTATAGGATACTCGGGCAAGAGACAATAAAGTCCAATGAGATCACACGTCGACTTGTTGAATTCATCATGCAACTGACTTTGTTCAATTATTACTTTGTCTATAAGATAAGAAAGACTCTTCAAGTTGTTTTGTAGCTTGGCATAGTCGTCCCAGATGGAAAACTTAAAACAATCAAACTGCTGGACAACCTTGTCAAACGAGGTTGAATAACCTTCACAACTGTGTTCGAGATTCAGCCTGTTCTGGAATGATTCATCGGCAAAAAACTGTGGTCTGATTCTTTCCCAATCAGCCTTTATTTGATCCCACGTCTGCATAAGATTATCCATTGGTACGTTACTATTCCAATCAGACTTTAAACTCTCCCACTTCTGCATAAGTTCATCCATTGTAACCTTCCTACTTTCGCTAACACCAGACATTATTTCTTTTAAAAAACTAAAAGGCTAAGGATGAATATAAATTTAAAGAAATATGATAGAAGTCTATGGATGACTATGAAATTTTCACGTGAAGAGATTGTTAATATAGCCAAAGAGTGCACCTAATCAATTTAATATCTATAAATGCAAAGGTAACTTTTCATGTCTATTTACTGTTTTACGTTCAGAGTAATTGAATGTAACAAGACAAGTAGGTGGTAAAGAAAACAAGTAGATGGTAAATGGAAAAAAATATAACTTCAGCCTAATAAGTCCACAGTTTTTCTATAGTAAAAAAATAACTTCAGCCTGAAAAGTTTTCATTTATTATTTGTAAATTCAAAAGTAACTTTTCAGCTCATTTACTATATGGTCAGACAAATTTAAATGTAAGATGAAGTAGGTAATAAAAGATAAAAAATAGCTAGTAAATGCAAAAAAGATAAGTATCAAACTTCAGACTGAACATGCTGAAGTTAAAACTTCAGACTGAACATGTTGACGTTAAAACTTCATGCTAATATGTTAATATGCTAATATTTATTTCATGTGCTAATATGCTGAAGTTATTTAGTTCATGTGCTAAAACTTCAGTCTAAAGATGCTGAAGTTATTTAGTTCATGTGCTAAAACTTCACACTAAACATGCTAAAATTTTTTTGTTCATTTCCTAACACTTCACACTAAACATGCAGAAGTTAAAAGTTCATGCTAATATGCCAATATTTAGTTCATTTGCTAATATGCTGAAGTTATTTAGTTCATGTGCTAAAACTTCAGTCTAAAGATGCTGAAGTTATTTGGTTCATGTGCTAAAACTTCAAACTGAACATGCTTAAATTTTTTTGTTCATTTCCTAACACTTCACACTAAACATGCAGAACTTAAAACTTCATGCTAATATCCTAATATGCTAATGAACTTTTTGTCCTACAGTCGACACTTTTTATCCAAAACTTCAGCCTAAACAAGAAGTTATTGAGTTCATGCTGAAGTTTAGTGTGCTGAATTTTCAAAAAAATATACTTAAGTTCATGATAAAAGAGACAAAAGTATTTGATACAATCCAAGACAACTAAAAGACTAATTAACGCGAATAGAACAAAAATTTTAAATACAGACATCACATAATTCTCAAAAATTAATGTATATTCACAAATTCAATTTTGTTTTCACTTACATCCTTGAAAAAAAAGAATTTTTTTTTAGTTAAAAGTTATTCTCTATCGAAAAAATTCACATAGAGTGTCTTCATATTCTCCATAGTCATGTCCTAGTTGCTCTTCTGGAGTTTTATAACCGCTATCTTGTTTTCACTTTCCATGAGCCCAAAGATTTACAACCAATTCTCTCCTGAATATCAACACATGACTTTGATTGAATTTGAAGACATATTTTTGCTTCAACCGCATATCAAGGAACTTAAGAGCAAATATACCACAATCAACACTACAAAAAGAATATGAAAAAGAATTGAAGAATAGTTAACACAAGAAGAAAAAATAATAAACATAAGATGCATGGTAAACATATGCCAAACACATACTTGTTATCCTATAGGGGTGTGTTCATCCACTTAATTGCAAATTTTTCCACAGAATTTTCCCCATAAATTTTATTGTGTGTGCCAAAGTCCAAGCATTTGAGACAGTGTGGGATCAACCGGGCATAATTTTGGACATGTTCAACAGCACGCTCATATGGTGTATTTCTCATGGAATCATACACATATATAATTTTATCTTTAAACTGCAAAATTCCAAAAAAAGTAATGCGTAGATCTCTGGCCCGACCTTGGCTTAAGTCGAAATGGAAAGAATACTTTTTCGGCAGATGCCCATGTGATACCACATGAAAGGTCAATGCCTCTTATATAGTTGGCCACCTTTTCACCAGTTGATTCTTCAATAAGCCAAGTAAACTCGGTAAGATCCTCAATCTACACTTCTTCTTCTTCTTCTTCTTCTTCTTCTTCTTCTTCTTCTTCTTCTTTTTCTTCTTCTTCTTCTTCCTCACATTCCAGTTTTTTGGCAGTCCTCTTTCTCTTTGATTTGTTCTTTTTCCCTTCCATTTTTTTTCTCATCCATTATCTTTTCCTTCCTTATTCTAATTTTCTCCTTCTGTTCATCTGAAGGATGAACACTAGCCAACTTAGTCATATACTTATCAAAAATTAAATTTATTACTGCACATCTTGATTTTGGATAACTTGGAAGGTGATAGCAATATTTTTTGCGCAAGAAATATACGCCCACTTCAATATGCTGCAAATGAAAAACAACAAAAGAAAATATGTGAAATAAAAAACTTCAGCATGCATAAGTATGAAGTTTAGAAAAAACACATTACAAAACTACAAACTGCATGACAAAAACCTAAGCATATTCAGTATGAAGTGTTAGGAAATAACCTAAAAAACTTCAGCATGTTTGATTTAAAGTTTAGAAAAAAAACTAGAGACTGCATGTCAAAAACTTCAACAAGTTTAGTCTGAAGTTTTAGCAAATAAGCTAAACAACTTCAGCAGTTTTACCATGCATAAAACTGAAGTTTACCAAATTATAGTACAAAAATTTTAAAACAAAAATAAGCTGAAGTTTTGGGAAATACAGTTGAAATCCAATTCAAAAATCAAACTTAATAACTTACTTCATCTGAAATATCAGAGGTAGGATCCACAAGCTCGGTAAAGAATGACTTTGGAATATCAATTCTAGCTAATCTGAATGGCTTAGAATTATATTCACTGGCATCCGTCTTCAACCAGTCTGTAAATCTTTGCATCAATGCACTGTCTTGATTAACATAATGGAAGGGACACCTTCGTGTAGTCTTTCCTACTTTCCAATCTTGCCCCCTTCGCTTTTGTTTAGGAA